ATATTATTTGTGATCAGATTTACTTGAAACTTTGTTTTAATGGTCTCTCATTTAATTTCTGAAAGATCTATCTCGACAATTTAAAAAAGGGAAAGGTGTTGCAATTTTTGTTTGGGACATACTTTATTTATGGTTGAATTTACTTGAAACTTGGTATATATGCTGTTTGATATTATTAATCAAATGAAAAGAGGTTGCAACGTTTCCATGGGCTACATTTTATTTGTACTCGGATTTACTCGAAGGATGCTCATTGCTGAAATTAAGCAAATACGTGTTTTGGCAATTTTTAAAAATCAACCCTTAAGGATGAAATGTTGTTGCTACGTTTGTATTTGAAAGATGGCGACATTACACAAAATTAAAACGTTGTAAGGGTGAATTGGGAGTTAAAAGGTTTTATGGAGAAAGAATATTAATTTCTGGGAGCGAAGCCGCGGGGAAAAGCTAGTTATAAATATTTTTTTTAATATACTTTCGGCTAAGTAAATTAACGCGTATCAAGGCCATTTCGTTTGTATAATTGTCAATTATCAGTTTTTTAAAAATTTTATAATTCCGCGATGACGGTACTTTCAATGTCACCGGCTCCTCGCCTAAAAAGATGATGCCCTTTGATAGCTAGTGTAGGTAGATTATAAATTACAGAAGTAGGTTGTAAGAAAATTGATTTTGAAATGTGTTCGAGGTAGATAATAAAAATGCCCTTTTATAATAAGTTTCCAAGTAATAATGTTTTTGTATTCGTACGTAAACAGGTAAAGATGGTAGTGGGGACTTCTTCCCCTTTTTCATTGCCCTTTGTACACTTCGATTTTATTAGAAACTGGGGAGCCCACTCGCGGCCTCGGCGCGACCGTACGAGCGACCTTGCTAAACTTGACCTTGTTTTATTTCAGTAGCGTACTCGGGACATATAACGTTATAAGGAACACTGTCATTCCACCACGGTTTTAGTTGAACTAAAATTGTTTTAAATTTAATACAGTAATTTATACATGAAGTACATCTATGTTATGTAATTGAAATTGTCTTAAACGAAATGTCACAGACAAAAAAAATATTGGAGAAAATTTCATTACACGATGTATGGCATTGCGTAAAGACGAATTTATCAACAACATACGTCAGGTATTCCCTTCCTTTCATGATGCTGTTGCTAATATTAGTATTAGTATAAAAAAAATGAAGAAATCCCCATGATCGATTATAGTGACGTCATGGGGATTTTGTTATTAAGACACGGTTAGAATCCGGAAATCCAGTTTCTTCAGACAACAGCCGTGAAAGCCTAAATTAAATTTTTGTAGAGACGCACACACAATCTTAAAATAATAATGTAATATTTTGGATTATATCTTTTAATAAAAATTTTAATAACCTATAAGCAAAGAAAAAGATTAAAATAAAATTCTTGAACTGCGAACGTTTTATTTTCTAGTTCCCCTCCCCCCTCCGGCATGTCACGCTAAGCAAAATCCTTCCACCTCTTATTTGCGAACGTATTTTTATGAACAGCCCCTTAGTATTGTTCATATTCGTTATAGAGAGTTTACACTATAATAAATAATCTTGTGAAATTTTTGATTTCGAAAGTACGTGGATTATTACAGACTTTACTTTTGACTCATTCATATGAAAAAAATATTCTTAATAATTAGTAAAGTAATTTTGGTGGAATGGGCGTGCATTCCCAGAATCTGAAAGGTTAGTCAAAGGTTATAGACAAATGGAGCGAATAGATTACGTAGGTCGCACCTGTTTTTCGACTCGTCTTCACATAAACTATTTCTCCCCCGCCATAGACGGTCGCTGCTTTGAAAAATAACGTGAAATGTTGACGTGCCTAATTAACATGAAATTATTTCTCTGAAATCTACTTTCATATGATATACGCATTTTCGTAACAAAAAAAATTAAAGTAATAACCAAAAGTATGGATTTTTTTAAAGAAAATTAATAAATAAGACGATATCAATAAAAATTATTGAAAAATAACACTAATCAAAACGTTTGTTTTTACATAATGACCAATATGTATTATAGGTATCTACACAGATATCTACATAAACATTTTTGAAACAAATAATAATGCAACACAATCACTACTGTGGCGCTAAAGGAGATGTAGAACTACTATTAATTTTTTTTTCTTAGTTTTATCTTGCAATTAATAAAACCATTCATATATCTCAAATTCTTTAACTCAAAACTAACAATCAAATTGTAAAAATCGAAAAAATTAGGGCCAGGATGCACTATTGGCATGTTGTTTCTGGGAGGTCTAAATAGCAATATGTTTACCAAATTGGCATTTCAAAATTTGAAGTGGAAAATCGATCAATTCTATAAGTTGAGACGAGACGAGCTTCGTACGAGATACGTACGCTTATCATGCACACTGTTGTTGTTAGTTGAGCCGGATAATCAGGAGCATCATTAAATAAAGACAGAGAAGTCAGAGGTGGTCTCAGTATTTTACATCTGAAGTCTCACTGTCACTTAAGGTTTGGCGACACATTGACTAGATGAGATTTGTATGAAGTACGTAGATTTCTCATGTACACTTTTGTTGTTAGTTGTGTCTCCTAATCAGAAGCATCATTAGATAAAGACAGAGAAGCTAGATGTGGTCTCAGTATTTTACATCTAACGTCTCACTACCACCTAAGGTTTGACGACAAGCAATATGTTTACCAAATTGGCATTTCAAAATTTGAAGTGGAAAATCGATCAATTCTATAAGTTGAGACGAGACGAGCTTCGTACGAGATACGTACGCTTATCATGCACACTGTTGTTGTTAGTTGAGC